CTGCTGCTGGGGATTGCGGGGAAACTGAGCCCTGATGAGTCTTCCAGGTTGCAGAAGTGGGTGTCCTTTCAGACTAACCAGGATGTGAATGAATGAATGAATGAATGAATGAATGAATAGTGCTTGCCCGGGGGAAAGATCTTGGACGTGATGAGAGAGGTGGAAGGGGGAGGAGCTAAGTATCTGAGAGCCCCAGACTGAACCCCAGACCCTTTGCCAACAACCTCCACCCTGGGCATCTGGCAACTTCTCTGCAGGGGCTCAGCTGAACCACAGTTCCACACACCCCAGGAACACAAGGCTGAACCCCAACCGGGGACCTGCCCCCACCACAGCATGATTGCCACCGTCATTTCGGAGCCCTCCCATATAAACACACAGAGGACCATACAGCGTGATAGGACGTCATGTGGCTGGGACCAGCCACCTTCTCCAGCCCCAACCTGCAGCCCTCCCAGCTGACTCTTCCGCCAGCCAGCCGGTCTCTCTCGCCCCCACCCCCAGCCAGTCACGGCCTCTCCACATGCACCCACCCCCCTCTCTGCCATCCACAGGCTCATAGGGACCTTCTGCATGGTGCTGCAGCAGGTGGTGGAGGAGAGCCACGTGGAAGTGACCGACACACTGATCGATGACAACAATGCCATCCTCAAGGTGGGTTGCCCTTGTCTGGCTCTCCCCATAAGAGGCCCACCTGGGAGACCACCTCCCCCCCCTCCCCTCTGCACACTGGGTAGCTGGGGGAGCAAGCCTTAAGGATGGAGAGGCAGGGTGGGGTGGCCTCACAGGTCTCCATCAGCCCTTCCTACAATGAGAGTACAGGGAAAGGTGATGGGGGGGGGGGGGTCCCTCCCTTCTCCACCAAGGGGTGACCAGACTTCCAATTGCCCTCAACGCAGGAATCCCATAGCAAGGCTGCTCTGAGCCAGCCTGCTGTCTGCCTCCCAGGCATCGTCTCCACTCTCCTCTGGGAGACTAGGGCCACCTCGCTTCCCATCCCATTTGTCACTTCCTGCCCTAGCACCTGTAACATGAGCACACACACACACACACACACACACATGCACACACACACGTGCACCAGCTCTTTATATATACCTAAGGAAGGCCTCCCCTTTGGCCTCCTCTCTGGTCCACAGAAGCTCACAGGCATCCACTCATGAGCAGCTTGGTATCATGATGAGGAGTGACACCCCCCTAAGTGACTCCGGCAAGCCACGTGCCCTCTGCGACATGAACATGCTTATAACACCTGCCTGAGGGTTGAATGAGAATCCTCAGAACAGCGAGCACACAGGAAGTGCTCAGTGACTGTGTGACACCGCAGGGTTACCTATTACACCCTGACCTCAGATGTCTCTGCACCACGATTCCCCCAGCAGACCCTTGGGACTGTGTGGGCCGGCATGGCCCCTCATCATCACCTCGGTGGATCACGAACAGAAACCGCTCAGAAGGCAGGACTGCAGGGCGGAGGGCAAGCATGAGAGGGACCCTCTGGGGCAGTGCTGCGGGAAGGGAGAAATGTTGCCCCTGTTGCCAGGAAGGAGAAGAGTGTTGGGACTTATCAGGCTGCTCCCATCCAGGCCAACACCGGAGGGGAAGAAGGGATGCGGAATAAGCTGCAGGCCCGAGTGGGAAGAGCCCTGGAGCTGGGAGAATGTAGTTTGCAGAGTGAGGGGGGAAGACTGCAGAATTCCAGATGTTCAGACTCTGATCTGGACCTGACGCACCCCCCACCCACCTCTGCTTACCCAAGTTATGGATGGGAACATGGCGATCCTAAATGAGGAGTGGATGTGGCCAGCACCACCCGGCTATTAGCGGTAGCACTGAGACTCCACTCCAGATCAGCATCCCCGAAATGTCTTGGTCGCACTGGGTCAGTGCACAGAGCACAGGGCGGCGAGTGCAGCAGGCCGGTTCAGACCCCAGCTGCAACCCCTGCCTGGCTGTGTGGCCTTGGGGGCAGACGCTTCACCTCCCTGAGAGGTCAGATGGGGCAAGTTGAAGGGGTAAAGAGATCCGATAGGTTTACATTAGAAATCCTAGCGTGCCGTCTAGCACCATGAGTCGGTTCACATGGCTTGGGCATCCTGTTCCCTCCCTCGGGAAGGCTAAGCTCTCAGAGAGCCGCCTGTCCTGGGTACAGGAACAAACAGCCCTGACAGATGTGGAGCCCCGCCAACCCTGGGGGGTTGGAGAGTGAGTCTCCCCTGAGCTTTGGGGGAACCTGGGAGCCACGAGGAGGTAAGTGGCCTGAGGACAGAGTAAGAAGGCCTATCAGGATTCTCGATGGCTAAGCCTGTGCCTGGTTCAGGTGCTCTACCTTCTTCCAGCCGAAGCCCCGGGGCAACCTCCCCCCCTTCCTCTCCACAGTGAGGAGGCCCTGGGCAGGAGCAGGAAGAAAGGCTGAGGTGGCCAATCTTTGACGGGCATCCAGGGCCGGGGCTCCTCTCCCAGAGGCCCTCTGTTCACTCCCTCACATTTCCAATGAGCACCAGTGCTGAGGGGAGGGGAGGGGAGGTCAGCTCCCATGCTGGGGACAAGAACAAGGCAGCCAATAACAGGTTCAATTGTTCAGAGGGGCCCCCCTCCACCTGCATCCAGATCAGAGGAAGCTGAGTGAGACTTCCACGTCACTGGGTCTTTCTGAGCCTCTGCTTTGAAGCGGTAACATGGGAGAAGGTTGCCACCTTTCGATCCTCCCAGGAGCTGAGCGTGGGAAGGCACTGGCCAGCATCCCAGAAGGGTGGGGCACACAGGTGGACACTGCTGTCCCACCGCTCAGCTCCCTACCCCTCTCCCCCAGACCAGCCTGTGTGTGGAGGTCCGGTACCAGGCCGCGGATGGCACCATGGGCTCCTGGGACGACGGGGACTTCCTGGGGGACGAGTCCCTCCCAGGGGAAGAGAAGGACAGCCAGGAGACGGACGGGCTACTCCCAGGCTCCCGCCCCAGCTCCCGGCCGCCGGGAGAAAAGAGCTTCCGGAGGTAACAGGGAGGGGCCCTCCGGCTACCCACTGCCCCCAAAGGCGCAAGGAGGGTGTCTGGGTCCCAGACCTGCTCACAGGCCCCTCTAGGTC